ATATTTTAACAAAAATTTTGTCACAAAAAAATAATATATAAATTTATCACAAAAGTTTAATAAAAAATATTATTATTTCAATATTAATCAATTTTAATTAAAATTAATCAAGCCCAATTAAAATTAATTAGGCCCAAACTAATCTCAAGTTTTATTGAGTTTCACACGTTTTATAGTGCAAAACCTTATTCTTTTATATGTTTTTTTATCAATGTGGGATGCATTGATTAGAGAAAATTGACAATTTTTAGTGACAAAATATATGTTTTAGTGATAAATTATTTGATCACCATTAAATGTGTAAGATATATATGACCAATATTAGAATTTTATCATAATTGTAATGCATTATAGTGATAATTTTTATCGACAAAAACTTATTTTATCTCTATGAATATTTTTCAGTGACAAAATATATTTTTTATGATGAATTTTTTTGTTCATCATTAAATATATATGCATTTATGATTAATTTTTTAGATCTATCACAATTGTAATAAGTTATAGTGATGATTTCAAAATTCATTACAAATTTCTATCACTAAAAATCATTTTTCTTGTAGTGTTGGGTCGTTATTATTTTAACATAAATAAATGTTAATGCCACACAAAAGCACCATAAGTCTGTTTAATTTTGTTTGATTTTATCATCTTATAATTGGTTTGTGGTATTTGAAAATAACAATACTATAATTACAAGATTATATATAATTATAAAACTACAATTATAATATGACAATAAATAAATATAATGAGATAGTAAATGAGTATAGTATACAATATTATGAATGAATTTATAAATAAAAAAATTAATTATATAATAGTATATCATATTATAAAATAATAACATTATGAAACATTATAATTATAAAATTTTTTATTTGAAAACATCAACCTATAACTTAGTTTTAGATTATTGAATAATAAATATTAATTATTTTATTAAGGTTAAATGCTAATTTTGGTCCCTCAACTTTAGTGAGTTGCACATTTTTGGTCCATCAACAATTTTTTACACTTTTTTGATCTCTTAACCCTAAAAAATGCACACCATTAGTCTTTCCGTCAATTTGGGCTGCTAACTTCATCCATGTGATATTTTTTATATTTTTTTTATGACATGGCGAAAACAAATTAAAAAAGTGTTAATCTGGACATTTTTTTATGACATGTCAATGCCAACTCATTAACCAAATTTGATTAGAATTTATATTTTTAATAAAAAAACTACAAATTTACCTTAATACCCTTGTCTCCCTTTCTTTCTTGATCCATCTTCTTCCTTTCTTTTTTCTTTTTCTTTCTGCCTCTTCTTTCTTACTCTTCTTCCTCTATGTTGTTGGGTTCTCTCAAACCGAGCTCAGGTTCGATGGAACCCATCTACTAGGTTCGATGGAACCCATCTACTAGGTTTGAGAACTGGGTTTCGTTGAACCCAGATCTACTAGGTTCCACCGAATCCAGCTTGGGTTTGATGTAACCCAACAGATGGGTTACATCAAACCCAAATCTGCTGGGTTTGGAAGAGAAAAGCTGAGCAATATTTGGTTGACTCTGGTGTTCCATACACAATTATCAGCTAGATTGATTCCAATGTTTGCTTTCTTTTGTGCATCTTGCATCCCTTTTAGAATTGTTTAAAGAGTATGTCTGATTAGGTTCTTTAGATAGGTTTCTACCATGGTTTTTGAAAAGGATAAAAAATGGAGACTAACTTGGGAAAAAGTAAAGGTAGACTACATTCTCTGATTTCTGTATTCTTTTCCTCCAAAATCATTTTTGTTTCCAGCAATATGTGTTAAAATACTGATAAATTCGCTGCAGATTTTTCTTCATTGCAACCTTATTAACTGGTTTTTCAAAACTTCTGCATGGTCATTTCTCAAGCATTTGGAGCCTACTAATATGTATTCTGTAAGACTATAACTTTTGCTTGTTTGCATTAGTCGTAACTCATAAGTTGATTTCACATTTGCATGTATTTGTGTTTTCTTTTCAAATCCTTATTTTAGTATATGTGGATGAATATTGCATTACAAATCCATGTTTTCTCAGTTTCAATATTGATTCTTGATATTAAAGTTGTGATGAACCTAGAATAGGCCTGGGTTCACGACGAACCCAATCATGGCCAAGAAGGGGGATGAGTGGGAAGGGAGAAGAGAAATAGTGACAAAGAGGAAAAATGGCTGGAAACAGTGATAAAGAATTAAAAATAACAATTAAATCTGAGTTGGCATTTACACCCAAGCTAATCGTATGATTTGTCATTGACATGTCATTAAAAAGGTGCCATTCTGGAATATTTAATTGCCAGCTATGAGTTAACTGACGGAAGATCAAAATTGTGCATTTCTTAGAGTTGAGGGATCAAAAAAGTGCAAAAAATTGTTAAGGAATAAAAAATGTGCAACTCACTAAAGTCGAGGGACCAAATTTAACATTTAACATTTTATTAATTATTAGTTATTTCTAACTATTGAACCAAACACATTCATAAGATTCTTGTATGGCCTTTAACATTTATTGTTTGGCAACAAGTATGTCCCCTGCATTCAACATCTATAGACACTATATTGTTTTAACCAAGATAACCAATTACATTGCTTTGTATAACCATTACTTTGACAAATTAATTGATTATATTTTTTAAAAAAAATATTTTACAGTATAAAATTACAAATATTAATTATTTAAATTAAGATGGGCCTCTTATTATAAAAGAGTTGCCTACATCTAATCTAATAGTTTAAATTTTGTGAGTCTGTTCGATTAGATGGTTCTTTTACTCAAAAAGTTTTTATTGAAAAAGTTATTAAAAAATATTATATGAAAAGTTTAAAAAGATTATATAGAAAATTACTAAATTTTGCAATGAAGTTTTATTAGAATTTTGTTAAATTATTAATTTTGTTGTATTTAGTAAGAAATTGAAAAATTAGTAGGGAGTTGTTAAGTGGGTCAATATATGAAAAGTTATAAGAATTTTTTTTTTCTTTCAAAATAGATGAGAAAAAAACTTTAAAAGTTGAAAATTGTATTAAAAAAAATAAATACTCAAAATACTACTTTCATCCTCATTTTGTTGTGGTAATAATGTGTTAAAATGTATAAACAACCTTATAAAGAGAGTGTTTAGAAAAGTTTAGAGAAAAAATTACTCTCCAACTATACACCACCCCAATAGCCCACTTTATATTTTCTTAATAAAAAAAGTATATTAATTCTAACTCTCATTAAAATTTTAGATTCTCAACTTAAAAAATATCACACTCTAATTAATATTTTTAAAAAATAACTATTAGATTTAATATGTTATTAATATAAATTACACCTATGAATTTTCAAATTGATATGACATCTATAATTATTCAAATCAAGAACTTATATTTTCTAACATATACTTAACATGTTAAATTTTATATAATCAATAAACTAATTATATATATTCAATTAAATCTAAAACTTAACATATATAATTTGTATGAATATAATACTAAATCTAATTATAAACATTTAAAAATATTATTAAAAATTAAAGTTTTTATTGCTGGACTTCATTTTTTTAACAATAGTTGGATTAATAGACATTATTATGTTATTAATATAGTAATTAGGACTTCCTTTAATATGCTTATGGTTTAAAGTTTTTTATTTTGGTTTATAAAATTTAAACAATTAAAAATAATAACTTAAAAATTAAAATTAAAATTACCAACTAATTAATATAAAATTTTAAAATAAATACTCAAAACTTTAAATTTAATTAATTTATAAAATTATTTAATTTTATTTTAAAAATTAAAATTAAAATTAAAAACTTAGAAGTACAACCATATTAAATAAATTAAGCAAGATAATTTTTTTTCTCCCAAAAGTAACCGAATACAGTAAATCCAAACACGCCCTTAGGGCTTGATTGATGTATTAAACTGCTGGTTCCCTATTTCTCCTTCCCTTTCATAGGTAGGACTCTCCTCGATTCATCTTATTCTGGTTTCGTGTCTAACTTCCTGCTCGTAGCTGCTAATTTTGTCAACTGAAGGGACGATGGGTGCGGCGGAACCCAGTCTGGAAGAATTGCTGGAACAGAAGAAGCGCGTCAGGAACCCTTTAGTTCCCGTCGGTAATTCCTCTTTCCTCTCTTTTAAAAATTCAACTTTTTTTTTTTTTTTCCTTCTTTTGTCTGGACTCTGGTTTTGATATCTGTTATTGTCAAAGTTCGAGGTGATGGTGTTTGGTTTGAAGTAGAAAACTTTTGGTTCAGTTTTCGGACATTGTTGCTCAAAGCTGCGTATCCATTTTCAGGGGATCCTTCACTTGAACAGGGTCTTTTCTTTTTCTTTTTCTTTTTCTTTTTTGGCTGATAAAATGTACTCCTTAGAAAGTTCACTTCATTTGGAGAATCAATTGCTATTTTGTTGAGCAATTGATTGGTAAATGGTAATGCCCAAATTAAACTAAATCACCCAGTTATTAGCAACCCAATGCCTACTTAAATACTCAATTGCAATCAGAAAAATGTTTGAATTAGTTTAGTCACTTTGTCGAACCCAACTCTTACATGGTGGTGAATCAGGTTGCTTTATTCATTTGTGGGTTGTGTATGTGATGTTATTATACCTAGATCAAATAGACGCTAGTGATAAAGGGTAATCGGCAGTAAATAGAAGTACCTAAATGTTAAGTCTGTATATCGTATGGGAAGTTTCCGTGGAAAGTGACCCTGAAATAGCACATCGGAAATGACTGTCGGTGTTTGGTATTGGTGGTTTCTTGAGGAAGTGCCTCTGCCTCTCACCTTTCTATTTTTCCTGTAAAATGATAAGGAAGCCTATAGAGTTTCCTGGGGAAGTGCTTTGGTCAACTAGTTTGATAACGAGCTGGATTTTTTACTGAACCAACTAACATTAAGTGGCTAAATTTGATAAATACTATCTGCTTACGTTTGAATGAATCAATTTGAAAAGTAGCCTGCTATTTTGCACATTGAGTACTTAAAGAAATCTAATGAAATATAACCAGTTATATTTAAAAACTAGTAGGATTATATTTGAAGAGTAGCTGCCTGTTTTGCACAGCATAAGGATAACGGAAATTGTCAGAGAAGTACAAAAATGTTAATACCCCAGTCTCAATTTTTGAAAAAATCCAAAATCTAGGTTACTTTTCCTCAGATAGTGGTTTAGCCCCTGGGAAAGCATTTCTGCCTGGGAACATTATCAAACTTGCAGCTTGCCCTCCATACTATGTCATTTGATGCCTATTGGTTTTCAGAATTTGCTGTCTTGATTGATTTGTTCTGCATTGATATAGATGAAGATCAAGTATTTGGAAAGTATGGAGTGTCATATTTCAAATTACTAGTATAATTATTTTGGTTGATTTGGGGAAGGCTGGTTGAGGAGGGTTTAACACTAGTGTAGAACTTTGTTATGATAATTAATACTTGATTGAATGGCTTAGAGCAGCTGCAAGCTATTCTATTCCTCTCAACTCAAAGCTGGCAGTTGGACTGTAATTTGATGGCAATTGGGAAAGCATTTTTTCTTGTTTATATTTTGGTATTCTAGCTGTTGATATTAAAAAAGCAAGCATAGATTCTTGATGCTATAGTTGTGAATACATTTGAGTGTGGTAGATTTTTTTTTGTAAAGTTGGAGTGTATACTGCTTGTGTTTGTTTGTGTTTGAGCTATTGATTAAGAACTTAATTTGTCTGTTCTTCCTTTTTTTTTTTTTTTTTATGTCAATTTATCTGTTTTTTCTAGTTCTTAGGCTTAATTGATTCTGTGTAATTTGCTTAATTATTATCCTTGCCTGCTTTTTGCATTTTAAATTGTAATCACATAGATGCTGCAATGAAAAAACTCTGAACAGTAAGTATAGTGCAATACCTGAAACCTTTTCCTTTTCACTCTTAGAACGTATAAATTGGTGGCTTTATTAAGTTTCAGTTTGTTTGGCATATATGTGTTTAACAGGTGCACTTATGACCGCGGGGGTGCTCACTGCTGGATTAATCAGTTTCAGACAAGGCAATTCCCATTTGGGTCAGATATTAATGAGAGCTAGGGTGGTTGTTCAGGGGGCCACAGTTGCACTCATGGTTGGCACAGCATACTACTATGGTGGGAATCCCTGGAAATCGAGTTAGACTCTGCAACTTGCCTCCATATTTTCCCAGTTTCTTGTGGTTCATACCTGCAAACATTACTATATAGGGTTGGAATATTCCTCAATGGGAAACGATAAGTGTTACATTCAATTGCATCACATGATTAAATTTGCCTAAGTGCAGGCCTTTTTTGTATTTCAAATATGCATGTGTTACAATTCTAGTCAATAAAATTACTATTCCTATAGAACAATTACTCTTAGTGCCCCGTGGCTGGTATTTTGGAACTGTTTGAGTGTGGTGGTGTGGTTATTCTATATATATTGCCTTTTGATGATTAAAGAAAGCTGCATGATTTATTCTAACATTGTAGAAGAAATGGGAATGTTGTGGATGATATTTGCTCGCAAAATGAGTGCATCATGCTTGAAAAGAGATGAAATGGCTTGAGGAAATTCCAACATGTGTTTTAGTTTGTTATCTTTGGACCTCTGGAACAATTTTTTTTTTTTTGTTGTCCTAGTTTAATTTTTATGTAAAGTCTGATTAAAAGATTTATATCACAGATAGAGCACAATTGAAAAAAATTTTCTTAATATATGTAGTTCTTGTTGAGCATTTTCATTTAGAATAAAATTTTTTTCAATTGTCATTTGTCTGCTATATAAAATCAAGTTAATTTCCATAAAGTTGAAGGATTAAGAACATTAATCTTAATTTCATGAGAGATGAAAGTCTATATTACTTTGTGATGCCAATGGTTAATAGGTAAACAAGGAGTTTGCTACAGGGCTGGAACAAGTATCTCAACTATGATAGGGCTTATCAGTTTTGATATAAGGATGTCATTATTTAAAACCTTACTCATGTTTGTATTTTGTTACAGTGATGGATAACATTAGGGGCAAAACTCCTAAGATAAAAGTTCTAAATCAAATAATAGTTCTTCAATTAGGAACTGGGCCTTTCTTATTTTCTAACTAAATTTTAAACCTACATTACCTGTGCATTGCTCATGCATTTGAATGAGAACCCTGCAGCATTTTCTTTGCTTTTTTTGTCTATAGTGTCGAATTAGTTGTAGTGTTGATTTAGTGCCAAATTAGAAGAGAATTGCCAATACTAATCAAGAGGGGCGTGGTAAAGACCACACAAAAGTATTTTTAGTGTGTTTGATTTGACTATCAAGAGCAATTGATAGCTATAGCTGTTAACAGATAGTTTATCGAACAATTGATATTTATTATGTAATAGTTTGAAATCAGCCTAGATGCTGATATTTTCAAACACCCCAAAGAGTTGTAAATTGATAAAATTAGCAAAATCAAACAAATTTATGATATCTTTGTGTGGCTATAACTATGACCACTAGGTAGAGATAAGTCGTAGAAGAGAAATCTCTAGATTTAACGATACTGCAAATTCTCTTTTTCACTTGTCCTTTTAGAAATATGAAGGATTCAGGTGGTATTCGAGAGAGATAAGTCAAGATAAAAGAGATAAAATGCTTATTGGTTAAGAGTTCCCTTTTCTAAGAAGCCAGAAGTGAGCTTCTTACCTGCTAATCTTACTTAAAAAGAATCAATGGTAGCGGCTGTAGAGGAAGAAATCCTTGCTCTTCGAGCTAAGCAGCTTACTAGGCCCTGGTAAGAGTAGTGAGGGGAAAGTATAAGGCAACAATCAAGGATATTAGTCAAGGATATCAATCTCTAATTGCAGGAATCAATCAAGGAGATCAGTCTCTAATTTAGCTCCTAGAATTCTGTATTTCCTTTTGTATCAGCATAAGTTTAGGCTAACCTTACTGATACGCATATAGGCACTACATGTCCTTATCAATAATCATTTTCTTCACATGAAGTAATTTAAAAATTTTATTTTTTAGTACTACATCCCTTAGTATTTGAGAGCTACATTAGTCCTCAACTAATTTGAAATTGAGTTGAGTCAGACTCCAAAAGAATGAAGCTCTTTTAGCAACTATTTTTCCTTTTACAAAACTTAAACTGAAGACTTAACAGAAGTCAAGTTTTTCATTTTTTATTTGGACGAACATGTTGTTTGTAGTAATTTAAAATATTTGCCAATTATATACTCAAATGATAAATAAATCTATTCATAGCTAACTTTCGGAAGTGGTTAATCAAGTAGTGCTCAAGCAATGTAGTAAATGGCTCTGAGCTGAATTGGTGGATGTCTGGAAACTAATTGAGATTAATGAGTTCGGGATGTCTATTCTCTAAGACTCTTCAAATCAAGAGAGTATTGGTGACAAAAGTGTTAATAACAAGGGCTTGAGGGAGGTGGAAAATTTTGCTTTAGATGCAGATTCAACTCAGTTAGAGAAGCAAGTTACTAATAAGGAGAAATCAGTAGAGCAGTTGGAGTTGGCTTTGATTTAGAACCAACTATAAGGAGAATGAACTTGCAGGCTTTGGTAAGGAAGTTTAACCTTATGATGCTTTTGATTCTTTCTTGGTTGACGTTCCTCTAGCCCCAGTAGAACGTCTCAATATGAAGGGAATAAAAGGGTAAGTGGAAAAGGATTGAAAAATGAAAAGAATCACCTACGAGCAAGACAGCGGTTAAGGGGTGCAGAAATCCAGATTTGGTTGAGGAGTTGGGTCACGCCTCAAAGGTTTTAATTGACAATTCAGGTATAGCTTTGGCGATGTAGGTAGACGATTCTCATCCTCCTAATGGTTCTAATGGTTAGTTTCTACATATGATGAGCACAACGGTGGGTTGGAGACTGTTGAAGCGTGATCCTTTGCTTTCCCCTAGTTTTTAGTGTTATAAGTACAGTTATTCAGAGCTTTTGAACCCTCGAATAGGGTGGCTTATTTATCACACTGGTGGCAAATTCTGTCATGCAAAATGGAAGTCAATAACTCATAATGACTACTAAAATTGCGAAGCGTCCACTAAAATTCTAAATTTCATCCACAAATGTAACTGCACTCATTTTTTATAATAAATCTGTAGCGTCAACTACATATTTGCTACTTCACGTCGTAGAAAGTTTGAGCTGCGAAGGAGAGCTTGATCCATCTTCATATTGCCATCAGATCCCCATAATTGCGCATAAGAAAAATTGATCCGGCAAACAGTGCAGTGGCTCGCATCAGTTTCTACATGAGAGGGAGAAAAGCATAGCCTCTATTTCTCAGGAAACAAATGAATAAAGATAGTATTGAAGTAAAATAAGATTATATAAAGGCTATATAACAAGATTAAATCAACTTAAATCCTAAATATTGAACACTTTTTAAGGAATTATTTGAAGTTGAAACAATTTAACATGCCTTGCCGAACATTAACATGTCCCTTTTCCAGAAATCCGTTAACATGGCCAAAAATCATTATTAAAGCATGTAAACATTTTTGCTTCTTGAAACTTTAAAGAAGAAATCATCCCCCAAAAGTTGCAGAGCCTCAAATGACAAGGTCTACTGTCAATAGCATGCACAAGTCATTACTTTCTAGCATAATCAGAGAAAAGTTATGAGAATGATAAAAAGCAAACAATAGAGGGATTGTATCCTTCCCAATAATGGCCTCAATAGGTTGTTCTCTTTGTTTCTTCTGCAGTTACCATTCCCTTTCCCCCTGCTTGCCCCATCTTTCTTCAACAATAGCAAATAAAGGTATAATACAGGCAGCCACCATAGCAAATCCTAATTGAAAAACTTATAGTTGAGATCGCAAAATGATTCATCTAATTAAGCAACAATATTAGCTGTAGCAAGCTCTAAGCCTTAAATCATTCCAAAGCAGGCATCAGCTACCAACAAAAACAAATATTAGGTAAAACAATCAAAAAGGCTACAGAAACAGAAATTCAGACCTTAAGTTTCTATTATATTATTTTGCCTGCGTAATAAAATGGCCAACTTAAATAAATAATAACAACATCTTAAGATTCCCTTGGTTCTCTGGCCCTCTGGCTATAGTATTGATTATAACCCCAAATTCAAATATTAAAAACACCATATGTTGCATAGAATCAAACAATCAGATAAAACTCAATTCTTTTCCAAACAATCTTTAGAACAGAAATCTGAAAGAAATCAAGAAGGATCAAGAAACGAAGGAGGAATCCCTTACCACATTGAGAGCCCACTTCTCATCGTGGACCATAGAATGCCAGAAGGATTTCACCTTCTCGAGAGAGATTGTGGAGTTCACCATTGATAGATTCTTGAGCGAATTGCGTTTCTTCACGAATTTGGGTTTTCGTTGGAAAGAAATAGTGCACAAACATTCAATGGGGTTTAAGGGTTTAGGTTTTAGGGTTTTGCAGTTTTAAAGCGTGTATTCTTCGACATTGTTTTTACCTGGAATTAAATCACTGAATTAAATCATAGGTTCCGTTCGATCGCTGCAGTTAAACTGAACCAAAATTGTTGGTTAACCAAACCTATTTTAGAGTTTGTTTGGTGTGGCTTGTGATAACTTTTGCTTTTTGAATACTGTTATGAGTGATAAATTTAAATTTTTATTAAAAAAATAAAGTTTTAACTTTTAAAAAAGTGAAAAAGTGAGTGAAAAGTAAGTAAGAAGAGAGTTTATGAAAAATTTAGATTTGAAATTTTTGACCTTTTATTGTTTAAGAGCTTTTTTAGATTAAAAAAATATTTAAAAGTGTAAGTTTTTAAGAAGAAAATTTAAATTCATGAAATATGAATAGTGTTCAAAAGATAAAGTTTCTAGGAACCACACCAAACATGTCCTTATTTTCGAACTTGAACTGAAATTTTGTTTGTATAAAAAAAAAATTTTAATTTTGTTTAGTATAATTGTGATTTTTTATTTTTTAATTTCAATTTTTTAAAATTTTATAATTATTGAAAATAAAAATTAAAAAGTCATTTAAAATGAATTTTAACATTAAAAATAAAGAAATATAAACTTATTTAATAGTATTAAAATTATTATTTTTATTTATCTAATAATTATGATAATATATTACAAAAAAAAATGAAAATAAACAAAATTTTTGAATTACAAAATTTATAAAAAGCAAAAACTATAATTATACTTAACAAGACTTAATTAACTAAATAATGTTGGTTTCCTCAAGCTTTGTTTGGGAACTTTGTTTAGGAGAGCTTTGCAGTGATGTCGCTGTAGGTTTTTCTGCCTTCTATTATTTAAAAACATGTAAAATTTTAATTAAAATAAATATTATTTATATATTTTTAAAATATTAAAATACCAAAAAGCTGACAATGAAAACCACAATGCAACACAACGGATCAAATAAGCCTTAATAATTCCATTAAACAAGGATAAGACTTCAAAACGAAAAGTAAAATGTAATTAAAATATAGGTTTTAGATTCCAGCAATTTCGCTCTCCCTTGCACCACTCCTAACGTTGAGAGTAGTGGCGACAAGTTTTCTTTCTTGGGGTTTCTCTTCAATAGAGGAGTTCCTTCATCCCTCCATTCTTCTTACCCCTCCATTTCTCTGCTTGATCTCCTCCTTCTTCATCTTGTCGTTGTCTTCCTTTGAAAACTCCAACCCAAGGGACCACAAGGCAACGACATATTTGGATTTTCTAAAGTTTACATCTGTTAATTTTCAAAGGCTGTGATTGAAATTGATCTTGCCAATGGAGTGGATTTCTCCTATTTAATGGGCAAGAATCTCGCTTTGGTGCATCTCCTCGGATTGGATCTTGGCGAGGGTCGAATTTGGCAAAACTGGTTGACACCAATTTCCAATCAGCCAACCGATTACAAAAGGAAAGGGATGCTGTAGGTGAGGCCGACTATGGTCTACATATGAAGCCTGATATTCAAGTCGACAAAGGGGCTCTAATTCCTTTAGTGAATTTTGATAGCATGGGTTTAAAGAGGATTAGCAAAGATGAGAACATGATTGGAATATATGGAAGTGATTGGGGCCTTGTGCTTGTCTGGAGAAGGCCCATACCTCTCTTGTTTGTTCTTCTTTAAGAACAAGTAAGACGGCAACCTGCGAGTTGGGAACTATTTGTTGCTAGAATCCTTGCTCTCCCAAGGAAGTTGGTTAAATAAGTGAGAATGTCCAATTGTTTTTAATGCTTATAGTGACTCTTCTTTCTACATTAATAGTCTTATTTAACTCATAGAACAATTGTAATTTCAATCTATAGTTATAAATGACTTTTTTTACTTAATTGTCTACATTCCTTATGGGTGTAATTTAAATCTGTTACTAATGTTGTAAGTTATGTTTTTTATTTTGTCTTTAAGCTATTTTGCTTTTGGTTATAATGTTATGAGATGAAGATTCTACTGTAATTTCATATTACTTAATAAAATTTTCTATTTCCCATAAAAAAATATAGGTTTTAGAATTCAAAAGAGTAAGAGTAACTAAATTTAAGGGTTTATTTGACCTATACTTAGTATAGGTTAAATTTCATTAATTATAATATTTGTAATTAATTTTACATAAATTTTTTTTATTAAATTCATATTTTTTTTTATAGATTTTGAGTACAAATATTATATTATATTTTTATTTTATATTTTATATTTTATTTTAATTGAATCTAATATAAAAATTTGTATAAAATTAATTAAAAATATTATATTTAAAAAAGTTTAACTTGTACCCTAATTTTTTTTTATTTTTCCTTTTTTCTTTATGGTTGAAATTATTGTTACATCAATATTATTAATACCATAGCTTTAAAGTTATTTGATTATATGGCTTACTTGATACATAATTATAGGCAAAAAAGCTTCTTAAGCCCTCAAATTTATCTCAAAATATCATTTAAGCTGCTAAATTAAAAATGAAACAGATAAGCACTTCAACTCTATTAATGATGCAAATAAGCCCTTCTCATTCATGAGTTTTCATGCTTTTAAGGTGATATTAAACATGAAATATCGTTTGACCCATTTGTTAGAAGGGCTTATTTGCATTGTTAATGGAGTTGAAGGGTTTATCTATTTCATTTTTAGTCTAAGAGCTTAAATGTTATTTTGGTATAAGTTTGGGAGCTTAAGAAGGGTTTTTGCCATAATTATATATTATGCACATTGCCATTCACAACATGGACGATTGGTTGCATTGCTAGAAATGGTCTTTTAATAATTACGATTTTAGTGTACAATCCTTTTGATGGATTGGTTATCCATTTTTATATAACTTTCTCAATCTAGAATTTAGAATAAAAAAAGTTAAAATATTAATTTGGTCCCTTAACCTTCAAATTTGTATTGAATTTATCCTTCAACTTAAAAAAGTATTAAAATTATTTCTAAATTTCAATTTTTAATGCCAAAAAAGTTTTTCCATTAATAAAAGTGTCACAAAACTCATTATTTTACCACAAATCAGTTTTTTTTTAAACACTGATGTTGTGTAAAATCAAACAATTATATTTTGTCATTATGATATATTTTTATTTACATATCAAATTGATATATAATCATAGTTGAAAAACCAAATTGTATTTGTAATTAAAGTTTAAGAACTAAATTGGTACTTTTCTTCAAAGTTTAAAGACTAAATTAGTATTATCTTAAAAGTTTAAAGATTATTTTAGTATCAAAAATTAAAATTTAAAGACATTTTTAATACAAATCCAAAAATTGAAAAACCCAATTAGTATCTTAACCAAAAGAAAGCTACACGAGCGTGGTTTTGCTTTAAAATTTTAAAATGGAAAGCACATTTGAACTTATATATCTTGCTTTTAACGTCCTTCATTTGGTTAGAACAGAGGATTAACAGCATTTGTTAAAAATGTCTAGAGAAGGAATTGAGCACTCAATTTTATCGTATTGGCTAATTAGATAAGATATATGCATTAGTCTTTCAAATAACCTTGACATGGAAAATTCTTTGCTCTTAATCATTTGAGCTTATTTTTTTACTTTCTTTCTTAATTTCTTACTTATATGATATGAATTTAATTTATAAAAAATTGATTAGCTTGATTATAAAATTATTTTTTTGACTTATCTTTTACTAAGTTCTCTTCAATAATTTATTCTGATTAATATGGTAGCAATAATTAGTGTTTTTTTTTTATTTTATGTGGGGCATAAGAACTTCCTTATCAGTCTTTAGAATTAAAAGAATATTTTATCTAACTCTACAGTTTAATATTTTTATAATGGTAAGAATTTAACTATATCTTTAAATAATGACGTAATGATGCCTAACGGAATTCGATTTCTTCTTGCATGATTGGTTTACAATTTGAGAGTTTGGAACTTCTCCTTCTCTACCATTTGCTTTGGTTTTTGCATTGCCATGTAAATTTTTCTATTTGGATGGATTGTTTCATCAAAATTTAATTTTTTATCTATTAACTATTACTCTCTTTTCATTTTAGTCTAAAAAATTTAGTTTCTTTAAAAATTATCTACAAACTTTGAAAATCATTTCAAATTCATTTATTTAACAAACTTCCGTTAGTGTTTTTAACGGAAATCCTATGGGATGATGATGTGGCACCAATTATGTGATATATGCAGTTTTAAAAAATTACACTTTAACCCAAAAATTTCACAAAATTTTCAATTAAGTTTTATATTCAAACCATTTCACCATACAATTTACTACCTAAGTCCTTAAATGGACTAAATTAAAATTAATCAAAACTAATGATAAATAATTAAGATTGTCAGCTTAATTTGTTAATTAATTAAGATTATAATATTATTTTTATCAAATTAAAACTAAAAAAAAATCTTTTACGTGTAAAAATTTTAAAAATGTATTTTCTCTATCTTAAAATAATAAAGATTTTTGAATTTATCTTTAAATTAAGGATTTAGAAAAAATTTCTATTATTACATATTTTATCCTTAAAAAAGAAATAAAAATAAAGAACATTTTTAAGAATAATGATACATATGACCAAAATTTGAGACCAAAATTTGAGACTAAAATTTAACTAATGTTATGTTATTTAAAATATTAAAAAGTGGATCTTACATTATTTAATGATTAATTCTCTTTTTAGGACATGTGATATTGTAGATAATAATAAGGTTAAAGTAAAAGAATATGTTTGTTTATCATAAAAATAAAAAAATAATAATCAATTCAAGACAAATTTAAAATTATAGAGCGATAATTATTTTGGGACAAATAGAGCAATGTACTCCCTACATCCTTAATTTAAATTTTTAGAAATAATTATCACTCTATAATTTCAAATTTGTCTTGAATTAATTATTATTTTTTATTTTTTAAGATAAACAATTTTTTTTTACTTTACAAATATTTTTTTATTTTAACCTTATTATTATCTACAATATCACATGTCCTAAAACAAATAATCATTAAATAATATAAGATTCACATTTTAATATTTTAAATAATGTGATATTAGTTAAATTTTAGTCCTATTTATCATTATTCTTAAAAAGGTTCTTTATTCTTATTTCTTTTTTAAGGATAAAATATGTAATAATAGAAATTGTTTCTAAATCCTTAATTTAAAGATAAATTCAAAAATGTTTATTATTTTAAGATAGAGAAAATACATTTTTAAAATTTTTACATGTAAAAGTTCTTTTTTTTTTATTTTTAATTTGATAAAAAATAATATTGTAATATTAATTAATTAACAAATTAAGCTAACAATCTTAATTATTTATCATTAGTTTTGATTAATTTTAATTTAGTCCATTTAAGGATTAGTTAGTAAATTATATTGTGGAATGGTTTGAATATAAAACTTAATTGAAAATTTTATAAAATTTTATAAAATTTTTGGGGTTAAAGTGTAATTTTTCAAAACTGCATATACCATATAATTGGTGCCACATCAGCATCCCATAGAATTTCCATTAAAAACACTAACAGAAGTTTGTTAGATAGATGAATTTGAAATGATTTTCAAAGTTTATAGATGATTTTGAAAGAAACTAAACTTTCTAGACTAAAATAAAAAGAGAGTAATAGTTAGTAAATGAAAAATTAAATTTAGCCAATCGTTACTGTAAGAAACTTTTAAAGTTGTTAATAAAGAAAGGTGTTGAAGTCAATGCAATGGCTATTGCTGGTACACCATTACTAATTGTAGCATTTATGGACAAGAAGGATTTCTGCACTGCCCTAAGTACCTTAAAAAAACAAAGGTTAAATGTTAAATTTGGTCCCTCAACTTTAGTGAGTTACACATTTTTTGTCCCTCAATAATTTTTTGTACTTTTTTTATCCCTCAACTCTAAGAAATGCACACCGTTAGTCATTCTGTTAATTTAAATCGTTAACTCCGCCATGTGGCATTTTTTATTTTTATTTTTTATGACATGGCGAAAACAACTTTAAAAAGTGTTAATTTGGATTTTTTTTTTTATGACACGTCAATGCCAACTCATAAACCAAATTTGATTAGCATTTATATTTTTAATAAAAAAATTAAAAAACTACAAATTTACCTTAATACCCTATCTCCCTTTCTTGATCCATCTTCTTCCCCTCTTTCAATCCATCTTCTTCCTTTCTTCCTCTTCTTTCTTCCTCTTCTTCCTCTGTGTTGTTGGGTTCCCTCAAACCCAGCTGATTCGGGTTCAAGGGAACCGAGCTCAAGTTCGATGGAACCCAGCTTCGATGGAACCCAAGCTGGGTTCCATTGAACCTGAGCTAGGTTTGGTGGAACTCAGTTGCTGGGTTCGATGGAACCCATTTGCTGGGTTACATTAAACCCAGATCTGTTGGGTTCGGTGGAACCCAAGCTGGGTTTCATTGAACCCAACAATTGGGTTCGGTGAACCCAACTCCACTTTTTTTTTTTTTTTTTGTTATATGTTTGTTTGCGAAGAGTTTAGGCAATTTGCAAGTTGTGAGGTATTTTTGGGATCCTTTTCTTCTTATTTCCTAAGTATTGTCTAAATGATTTCAATGTTCAAAATGGAAAGAATATCACCGGCGATGGAAAGAACAGAAGCAGTGACCGATGGGCAAAGAAGCAATTCAGGTTTCCATTTGTTTGGATAGAAAATTGTATAGTTTGAGTGTTTGGATGCTGAGAAAATGCTTTCAATCTGTTTGGTTATCGAGAAAACTATAATGTCCGTTAAAGAAAATTTGATGAGAAAATTGTGATTTAATTATAAATTAATTTAGAATTTCAATTTTGATTAATATAAATAATTATAGTTTAATGATGATTAATTAGTGAAATTTGACTTGATATTATTTTTGATTCATATAAACATTTAAATTTAATTTAATTTGTTACATCATTAAAAAAATATAAAAAATGTCACGTAATTTGCCATGTCATCAAAAGACATCTTTCTTTATTGGTGCTTTGGCACGTAATGTGGGGTCTATTGAGTGGATTTGGCACTTTTGAGTCACGAAAACAAGATATGGCAAAATATTTTGTCCATATCATCACTTTTTTAAATTTTGCTCTCTACATCATAAAAAATATATAAAAAATGCCACATGGGGCAGAGTTAACAATCCAAATTAATGGAAGGACTAATGATGTGTATTTTTTAGAGTTAAGGAATAAAAAAAGTGCAAAAAATTGTTGAGGGATCAAAAATATGAATTTCTTAAAGTTGAGGGACCAAATTTAGTATTTAACCAAAAAAGAAGGACAAGAAGGATTTTGTGAACGTTATGCTGCGCAACAGCACTGATGTAACGAACAATTGTATATATAGGTTATTTATATATATATTGCCTATTTTTTATACAGATTTTTCATTTTTTTGGTCATAATATAATGCAATTAGGGGTAGGGGTGGGCATCGGTTCGGTTCGGTTCGAACCGAACTCGAATTGACGATTTTAATCGATTGTTTATTTTGTGAAATAACAATCAAAAACCGAACCGAATAATATTTCGGTTTTTTAATTCGGTCACTAAATTAATCGGTTCGGTTGACATCGATTTCGATTTTGACCGATTCTAGCCTTGAACCCTTAGCAACCTTTTTTTTTGGATTTGGGCCTTTCGTTTTCTGGCCCAAATATCTACTGAATACTTTGTGATCCATTTCTTTTAATTTTATGATCCAATTTATTTGTGGACCAAATATCCAAGCAACAAAGCTAGTAACCCATCACTCTTATCCATCTTTGGTATGAGAATTTAAATTAAACTTCATTGTGTTTCCTTTCAGAAAACAATTAACCGTATGCATAATTTAAAAAAGAAAAATAAAAGGTAACAAAAATAGAATTCTGGAGCTGGAAACTATCATTAACTGAATCAAATTTCAGATGAAACAATACCGAATCAAACTTCAGTTAATGATCAACAGTAAATCATGCAAAAAATTCAATATGGCAATTGCAAAATCAATAAGAAACTAGGAAATAATGATTAAAATAATAAGAATAGATACAGCCAAACAATTTCACATTAGTAACTAGGAACATACTTCCACATGACACGAATCCCAAAGAACTCCTCACGGTTCAATTGCATCACACAAGGAAACAAAATCTCGAATCTTCTTTGTTTGGCTTCCAGTGAACGAGATCCAGTGGAGAGCTCAGAGGAGGTGATCGATAATCGGCTCTCCAATTTTGGTGTGAAGTAATGACGGACAAGCAAGAGGTGGAGTGGAGCGGGAGCGAGAGCGACGACTATACATCGGAGGATGAGGGAACGGAGGATTACAGGTGCGGCGGTATTGTTTTAGAAAAAATACAACCAAACTACCCACGTTTCTCTGGGTAGTTTTAGAAATTTTGTGTTTAACTTCTCATGCGGTATATAGTATCAAAAAGAAAAATAGAAATCAAAACTCAGTACACATATATATTAAACAGAGAGAAGGTGTGACCTTGAAACATACAATTGTAGTTGACGATTGAAGCCACACGCGGTGGTCGTGAAAGACAGATCTGGAGAAAGAAAGAGACAGAAGACCTTAATAGGGCTTTAATTTCAGATGTTTGGTGATGCACTACAGAGATTCTGCAGCCAAAGTAGATTGGGGTTAGAGATGGATGATGAAGAGAATTTACAGTAAAGAGAACATGAGATCTGGCCGACTGTGAAAGGGAGCAAATGGGGAGAGGAAGTGAGAAAAAAGAAAGTGAAAGTGAAGTGAGAAGGAAATATGAGAGATTAAAGATGAGTATTCCATTGGAAAATTAGAGGGAATGATTGAAAATTTCTAAATTGGGGTGGGGGGAAAGGTTTTTGGCGGAGAATCCAAAGGGTGGAGGATAGGAAGCGGTAGATGAAAAATTTCAGCGTAGGCTGGGAGGGAATGAATGAAAAAATTAGGGTCTGTGTTTTAGAAGGTATATATTTTATATTTTCCTAAACAATAATACGGGTTTTCGGGTGTATTATTCGGTTGTTCAGTTGTTGGGCTTGGAACCAAAGCCCGCACTGATTATAAACGGTTGTTGCGTGGGACCGTTCCTTGGGCCCGAAGCCCATTTGTAACCGCACCGCAAACCCAATTTTGCTGTGGTTGTCGGGCAACCGATCGGTTGCCCGCGTGCGTGCCCACCCCTAATTAGGGGTGATGATTTTCCCCATTTCCCAAGGGATCTTGGTTGTGGGAACAAGGAAAAGAAAAAGGGTAATTTTCTCACATTTTGCAAGAAATTTTTCCTGCCATGTGGATTGCGGACCCTTGCGAGGATTGCCAATTCCCCATCACTAGCCAAATTATTTTTTCAAAAAAATATTCTTAAATCTAAATACTCAATCCATAATCGTTGCTCTTTTTAATCAAAATTAATTTTTTCAAAACTTATTTTTTAAATAGGAAAATAAACTCAACTTATTAAATATTTAAATTTTGAATTAATAAAAAAATAATTTAATTAAATTAAAAAATGAAAATAAAAACTAAATATCTAATTATATTTTTCTTTGGATTTGCAATTTTTTTTATTATTTTTAATATTGCACGGCAAGAAAGGAAGATCTAATTTTCCATGAGTAACAAGGATGGGGAACAAATTTGCCCCCTGCCAAAATTCCTTGCACCCTACCTTCAGCAACGATGGGGTAGAGACATGGGCTTGGACATAACTGAGGGATCTCTCCCTAATCCCGGTAGGATCATTGCTATCCCTAAATGCAAAACTTAAAGATATATGTTTTTCAATTCAGTGGCAAAGCAAATTTTGTTGGGTTGTTCTTGTCTTCATTTATTACTATTTGTTTAACTAATTACTATTTTTAATTCTTCCCGAGTTAAATGTGATTTCATATGTTTTTATTCTCCCTTTTGCTCTTTACTAGCATTTTTTTTTCGCTAACAGGTCCCGTCATTAGTTAATTAATAAATTAAATATGTTAGGATAATGCTTAAGCTCTATCATTAAGAGACAATTTGTATAAAGTTGTGAATGATGTTCAAAATTAAGTCAAAAGAGAAGCATCTCTGTAAATGAATAGTTATTCCATCATCCTTTATTTAAGAAGGTTGATATATGTCAAAGAATTACAAAAATATAATTGACATTTACTTTGATTTTTACTTTATTTTATACTATCTATGAGAGAAATAATATTTTATATTTTTATAGGGACAAATGTTCGTAAAAATTAAAAAATTCTCATCATAACGTTCCTCTGCAAGATATTTTATGTCTAGTTTGATTTATTGAAAAATCTATATATATATATATTAAAGCAAAAACCATTTAAGGTAAGTATGTTACATGTCACTTTTACAAGTTTTTTTTAATATGTTTTTTTGCTGTCATCGAGGGTGTTCGCAGTGTGGTTTGGTTCAGATTTTAGTATTTTTTAAATCAATTTAATTTAATCGGTTAATAAAATTTTTAAACCAATCTAATCTACTATTATATGATAACCAAACCAATTCAACTTAAGTTGAATCGGTGTGGTTTAATCGGATTGATCGGTTTTTAATACTATTAAATATATGACATAATATAAAAAAATTTAACATTAAATAGAAAATATAACTATAAAATACATTAACATCTAAATTACTAGAAATATAATAAAATACACAAATTATAAACAAGTTCTTATACTAATTTACAATTATAAAAATTGAAAAGATTTGAAAATTCTTCTTGATTACATCACTAGAGGCATCAAAAATAATAAAAGATAACTTTAAATTTTAAATACAGTACAAGTAATTATTAAAGGTTAAAACTAATTTTTTTTCTTAATGCTTTAAATGATTCAATCCCATCTTCCAAATCTTGTTAAAAGCAATTAAAATTTAATATAAATGTCATTAGGAATGATTAAAAGAATTCATAATTAAAATTTAAAACTTCTTAACCAAATATCCAAAAATAGTAGAATATTAAATTTAATTTTATTATATAGTTTTATGACTTCTAAAATGATATTTTTTAAAATTTTAATTAAGAGAATTAAAATATTATTTTTAAAACAAATTAAAAATATAAAGTTCTCAAAATAGAGTTATATACTAGTTATAAGAAATAGAGTTACAATTGAATTGAAAATTTAAAATTAGAATTAGAGTGCATGATTTAGAAAGGAAAATAAATTAGAGAATATAGAGATATTTTATTTTTATTTTTAAATTAAATTAATGAAGTTATCACCTTATAAAATAAGAAAAATATTTAAAATATTACAAAAATATATATTATATTATTTAATTAAATTATTGTGTAATCAGATTTTATTTTGTAATCGGACAATTCGAATAGTTTGAAGGTGAAATTACAAACTAAACCAATTATATCAGTTTTAAAATTTTATAATCCAAACCAATTTAATTTTATATCAATTTGATTCAGTTTTTTATTGGATTGAATCATTTTAAGTAAGATCAATTGAATTAGATCAATTTAAATCAAATCAATCAAATTAAATCGGATGTAAATACCCTTAGCTTTCACGTATTAATACTTTCTTTATTTGGTAAATCTACCATTTTACTTTAGGTTTTTTCTCCCCTTATTAATTAAATTTAGTCTACCATTTTACTTTAGGTTTTTTCTCCCCTTATTAATTAAATTTAGTCTACCAATTTTTACCGTCCTTCATTAAATTCAATGTTAGCCTTGCATGTTTTTCGTTCTTTTTTTTTTCCCCCAACTAACTAATCAAACTTTAATTACAATTTTTTATTTAAAAAATATATTTGCTAATTTATAATTATTTTAATTTTTTTAAAAATTCTACTATAGTATGTGTATCAGATTTTTTTATTATTTAATAAAAATTTAATTTTAAATCTTATATAAAAAAATACTTTAATAAAATACATTAAAGTATATCAAGAATTTTTATAATGTCTATAATACCCTTTTATAATGTAATAATTAAAATATTAAATTTTTATCAATTAATATTAATTAAATAAATTACTATAAAATTAAAAATGATAATCAAAACTCTCTTTATTTTTCTCACTACATAATTTATTATTAGATATAAACATATTTTGTTCAATTTTAAATTACTTGATATTTAAAATATCTTTTTCTTTGATTAAGACAACTAAAAATTTAGTTACATGATTAACAAATAATGATTAAAATATTTTGATTAATTACGTGAAAATTTTGAATTATTTTCAAGTATTAAAATTAAAATCATTAATCAAAGTAATAAAAGAAAGGAGAGGGAGAGTTTTGTTTAATTTTTTTTAATTTTAATATTTATTTAATTAAAATTAACAAGTAATTAACATCTATTTATATATTATGAAAGAGAAACCATTAAGGGAAAAAGTTTAATTTGTCACATGTCATATTCATATGTCCTCTTTAATTCACTCTTTTTTTTAACATATGTCCTAACTTTTTCTTTGCGGTAAATTTTTTCTTTTGAATTCTTTTTTAAATGTAATTATTATTATTAGAGTTTATTTAACCTATACCTTAAGGGTTTAGATTAAGAATATATTAAATATATATTTTATCATAAATCTATATTAGAAAAATAAAAGTCAATTTAAATTTATTAACTATCTAATTAAATTCATTTATTTAATATTGCCACTAAAATTAATATTAATTTTTATATATTTTTATATATTTATAATAAAAAAATATTCTTAACCTCTATTTTAAGAACATAAGTTAGAAAAACATTTATTACTGCTAGAGTTAAAAAAGTAAAAAAATACCAAACTATTTAATGAGTTATTCTACCATCAATTAATATATTACAACTATATATATTTAAATTGTGCAGTGCATTTTTGGCGTGCTTTTCTTTACATGAACACTTGGAACGTTGTTGTTTTTTTTCTTCTTCTTCTAGCCATTTCTTGCAAGGTTTTCATTTCCTTTTTTTAAGTAATTAATAACTAATAATAATTAATAAGAAACAAAAAAAAAATGTAGAATTTTGAAAAAAAATATAAAAGGTAAAATAGATAACTATATTAAAATAATCTCACTTTTTTGTATTATTTTTTAAAATTTTATTAATACCATTTCA